AAGATTACAAGGTCATTAAGGGAAACCAAGCTCTCTACTGCTCGGAAGAGCTACAAAATTAAAAACAAAAAAAACTGCGAGCTCGGGATCCCTACTAAGCAAAAGTACACATAATCATAGGTACATTCTACGGTGCACAAGAGCGAGCTCCCACAAATCATAAATGTACAAAAAGTACTATCCATATCCACAAAACTCCCGCTCCTTCCAACAACACGATCACCTGCAAGGCAAAAACTCTGCAAAACAAAGTAATAGACAAAAATACAATAAATGCAGTAAAAATAACACAAAAACCGGTTGTCATAGGAATGATTATCACAATTACCACAAAAATTAAGACCAACCGTCCAAAAAGCATACTGTCTAATTATAATCCCACAGATGGTAAACCAATTATAAATAATAGTGTGATCAGACAAAGAGGAATATAGGGGATTCAGGATCCAAATAAGCAAACCCAACCACCAATACAGGCTAACAGAATTCCCAGGAATCTCAATAGTAAAAAAACAATAAACTCCAACCACCTGCAACAACACAACTGATAAACAAATTAAAATAGCGGGTCAAAGCATAAGGAAGAGTTCCCAGGTAACGGATTAGCACACATCCTCACGGGATCCAATATCCCGTGAAATGCCATCAAACCATCTAGGCTACAGAAAAACCCCACCAAAAAAATAGAGTTCAACCGCACAGCACCCTCCTCTAACACAGAGAAACACTTAAACATCCAAGAGAAAGAGATCAGCAGCCCCTCCATACAACACAGAGCCCACAAAGAAATATCGGTGTCCAACACATACCATCATCATCAAATTTTGACTTAATCATGCTAGACCACTCGGGCACATAGAACCCATCAATACATCCCTAGAAATTAAACCATATACGAAGAAAAGGTAAAGCCACAGCCAGAAATACCCAACACCAAAATATAACATCCACAACCTTAAGAATTAACATAATGAACACAATGTTTATCCAAATATAACAGGCCCCTAACCGAAAGAGGCATATTAGAAAAGCAAAAATCCTACATATAGTCCAAATCCCAACCCCAACTAGCCAAAGCTTTAGCACAAGCATTACCATTTCCTTCAATAAACAAGAAGGAAACATTATGCCTACTCATCACCCACAGAATATCCCTCCTTATATAAAACAATTTTGAAGAGCATGTAATATCATTCCTCAAAATACAGGACTGGAAACAACAAGATGAGAAAACTTCCACCATAATATTAGTGCAGTCAAGAGATAAACACAACTTTAAACCATAGAGGATATCAAAAGAAGTAGCAATAGTAAATATCACCATTATAAATAGGACATGCAAAATCAAGAATATAATTACCTTTGGAGTCCCTGATGAGATAACCACATCCAACCATAGAATTGTTGAAAGAACCATCAACATTTAACTTCAAAAAAAAAATTTAGGTGGTGTAAGCCAACAAATACTTCTCGAAACCTTTTGACTGTTATCCACATCAAGATTAATCACAAATTCAAAAGCAGCACTATGATACTTATTGAAGTTCTTAGCAGTAATAAGCTTAGCAAAAAAAGTTATCTAATTTTATCTTTCACCTTTTGAATAATCCGATGAGGATTCATAACCACACCATTATAGCGGGAATTATTTCTCTTCAACCATAAGAACCAAAGGATAAGAGAAGAAATAGCATTCCTGATATGTCCTTTGGAATTAACAAACCAGCACTTCAATAAAGAATAAATAGAAACCTTAGCATTAAAGTTGTTAAATTGTAAAATATCCTCAAAAAGAGTCTAGGCTTTAACTGCACAAGGGCCCGAGAAAAAAAACATGATGCATATTTTCCAAGTGATAACAACATTGGAATTTAGAAGGAAGAATGAAATCACGTTTCTTCAGGCCTTCTTCCAAAGTACCACAACATTTATTCCAGGCCAACCAGTGAATTTTAGAACTGCTACTAGTCCCTTTCAAAAAGAATTTATTAAGAATTTTCTCAAGCCTGTAACACATAGCATGAGTAGGAAGTAAAGTTTGTAAACTATAAAAATGGATAGAGCAAAAAACACTTTTAATAAGTGTTAATCTATCACCAAAACTAAAAAAGTTAGAATGTTATTCACAACCGAGAATAAATCATAAAAAAGAAAAGATTTTTTCCTACCCTTATAAAGAGCCACACCAAGGTACTTTAAGGGTAAACCAACATGATTGAAACCACTTAAGTTTTTAATGGCCATAATACGATCCAAAGGAACATTCTTAGCAGAAATAAAGCCACATTTGTTACGATTAAGGGCCAAGCCACTCTCCAATTCAAAATGTTTAAAAAAATTCAACAACTTACTAATCCTATTTAAGGATGCATTAACAAAAATAATACAATCATCCGCAAAGCATAAATGAAATATATGAAAATCACCCAAATTTTTAAAATATAATATGGGATACTTTTCAAAGAGATCAGCCATACCTCTAGAAAGGTAATCAGCCGTAATAATATAAAGGGTCGGAGAAATAGGATCACCCTGTCTCAGATCATGAGAAGCCCTAAAGAAACCATTATATTTATCATTGACAATGATAGAGAAATAAGGACTTTTAATACAAAGCTTAATGAGATTAATAAACTTAGTGTCAAAATCAAATAACATCATAATATCATAAAAAAAAAGACCAAGATATATTATCATACGCCTTAGCAATATAAAATTTCAAAATCATAGTCCCACCTCTCACTTTAGCATCCAAATCATGACAGAACTCCTGAGCCAAAAGAATGTTATTCGCAATGGCTCGACCTTTAACAAAACCCATTTGGAAAGGAGAAATCAAATTAGGCAAGAAAGTAGATAAACAATTCATCAAAATTTTAGATAATAACTTGTAAAAAAAGATGCAAAAACTAATAGGTCTAAAATCATTATAAGTAGAGACATAATTATTTTTGAAAATAAGCACAATAGAAGTAGCAGTAAAAAATTTAGATATGACATTATCATAAAAAATTTAAGAACAATAGAAAATAAATCATTTTCAATGATATTCCAAGTTTTCTGAAAAAACTTCGAAGTGAACTCATCAGGCCCAGCCACCGACTCTGAATTCATACCAAAAACAGTATCCTTAACCTCCTCCAACAAAGGGGTTTAGACAAGAAAATATTATTCTCATGAGAAATAAGAGATGGAATAATATTAGGATTATGAATAGTTAAAGGATTGAAATTTTTATTAAGATGATTTGAAAATGTTGAACAACTAAGTTAGCAATTTCAGTGTCATCTTTAGTAAAAGAACCATCAACACACTGAATTTTATGAATAAAATTAATATCGTGCTTCCTTTTAACTGAAGCATGGAAACACTTAGTATTGTTGTCCCCTTCAACAAGATGTTTAAGAGCCACTTTCTGCTTCCAAAACATTTCCTCTTGAGCTTGTAATTTGTTAAGCTCATCTTTAGCCTCCCTCAAAAGACAAAAGTTAGCCTCATAAGGGAATACTTGGCATTGAGATTCACAGGAATTAACTTTATCCTTCGTAATTAAAACATTAAAAAAAAAGATTTTTAAAAACATTATGATTTCACCAGTTCAAAACAAACTTAAGTCTTTTCAGTTTATACCACAGTCTATGCATACAAGAAATATTGTTGTTCGGATGTAAAGGGGCGATCCAATTATCCTTAACCACGTTCATAAAGTCTCATGAGGTAACCACATGTTTTGAAACCTAAATTGAGAAGGCAAATCTCTCAATCTATGCTTAATTTTAATGAGAAGATGAGAGTGCTCCGAGAGGGTCCTGCTCAGGTGTTCCACATTAGTATGATCAAAAGAATGCAACCACTAATCATTAAATAAAACACGATCTAATCCTTGCCATAAATTCCCATGACGTCAAGTAAATTTATCACCAAAAAGCCAATATCAATAAGATTAGTATTCATGATCATGTTATTAACATCCTTCATAGATTGATAAAAAGGGAAGGAGCCCCCTAAGCACTCAGACGGGCTAGTGATGGTATTAAAGTCTCCCCCTAGGCCTCGTTTGGGACAACTTTCTTACTGCTTCTTAAAATTTTTTATTAAAAAATTATTTTAAGAAGCACTAAGAAAGTCGTCCCAAACGAAGTCTTAATCATTCTGGTTACAAATAGCAGCTTAATTTCTACCACTAAATTTTTTGAAAAATATTGAGAAAATAATAAAATTGTAGTTATCAAACAAAAGAATATTTGCTTTATGACAATAGAGGGCAAGAAAGTTGACTCAAACTAACCCTTAATCGAAATCATATACCAAAATTTCAAAATCTTATTATATTTTATTATTATTTTATTAAAGCAAAAAAAGCTTATATTTTTGTATTTTCATTCATCTCCTTATAATTTTAATATTTATATGAAAATAAATTATAATAAACATAGCTAATGAAAAGGTCAATTTATCCCTCCATTAAAAAATATTTTCGGACTTCGATCAGCCAAAAATTTAAAAGTATATTCGATGAATCATATTTATTTTTAATGAAATTCAAACACCTACACCAAAATACACAGTGATTGAATCATGCTGTAATACACTCCTTTCCATGACCAATATTAATGACTGATCGATCTGCCTTTCAGTTCACATGGCTAGGATGGTATACACGTTGTAACCTTACAGCCTGTTCATTGCATGCAATATATGCATGAATTATTAGAAATGAAAAATTTATAGAACAAATTTATTATTTCATAAAGAGTATAATTAATATATTTATTTTTTAATAATATTATTATTATTATTTTAAAATTATCTATCTCGTGCACGTGGTGCGCATGCAATTCAACTAGTATAATAAATGTCAAAAAATAAAAAATAAAAATAAAAAAATTCTGCATGAGAATGTCCTGAAAATAAATGACTTCTTAGCTCCTGGCGTTATAAATGGAAGATAAGATGGCGAGTCTTAAGTGCCACTCCTTTGCATTTGCACACATATTTTTATCGTCGTAGCAACTGCCCAGCCATGTCCTCCGGCGACACTAAACTCTCTCAGGTCCTCCTCATCCCGAGCTCCGGCATGGGCCATCTCAATCCGATCGTCCGCCTCGCCAAAGCACTTTCCGACCGCGGCATCTCCATCTCCCTCCTGACCGTCCGCCCCACCATAACCGCCGCCGAATCCAGCCTCCTCTCCTCCCTCCCATCATCCCTTCTCATTGACTTCCCTCTGGCCCCATTTGACCCTTCTCTCTTCCCCGAGTCCTCAGACCCCGTCACACTCCGATGGGAAGCCATTCGCCGCTCCGCCCACCTCCTTCCTTCTCTCATCTCTACCATATCACCACCAGTCTCATCCCTCATCATAGACATCACCATCGCCTCCACCTTCCTCCCAGTGGCTGTCGCCGCAAACATTCCTTGCTTCGTCTATTTCGTCTCGTTTGCTTCCATGCTCGCTCTCTGTTCTGTTTCCCCCTTCGTTCCCCATCCCATCAGTACTGACGTCAAGATCGCTGGCGGCGTTCTCAAGATTCCATATTCCTCCGTCCCGCCGCCCCTCCGAGACCCGAACCACCTCTTCACCACCCAATTCATAGAGAACGGTCGGGCACTTACTCTGGTAGCCGGATTCTTGAGCCACAGTGGGTCGAATTCGGTGATGGAGGCGGCCGCGGCTGGGTTGAAGATGCTCGCATGGCCAAGAGGAGGAGATCATAGAGTCATTGCGGCGTCGGTGCCAAGAAATGGGCTGGGAATATGGCCGGAGAACTGGGCGTGGGAGGCCGAAGAAAGAGTCGTTGCTGCGGAGGAGATTGCGGTGAAGGTGAGGGAGTTCATGGCGGATGAAAAGTTGGCGGAGACGGCGGCGAAGCTTGGTGCGGCGGCCACTGCGGCGGTTCAGGAAGGCGGGACCTCGGATCAGAGCTGGCGCTATTTGATAACGAAACTGTGAGGCGGGGCAGATGACCGGCCGGACTAGTTTGCTTGAATATTGTTAATAAGAATATCCTTTATGTTAATCTTCTCAGTTCAGCGTTCAACTTTGCTTGAAGTGGCGCAATCAGCTTGTTCTTCCTTCATTCAGTAATATTGGACCAGCGCCCAATCTATGTAATTTCAAATCTATTAAAAAATAAAATTGCATTAGTCGGATTTAATGTTAGCTGATTGAAAGTTTGTTTGAAGTTTGTAGAGCCATAGAGGTGATGTGTGTGTGCTTAATTAATAGGCTTAACATCAAAAAATAATTTTTTTTGGGTAGTTGAACGAATACATAAAAAATAAAGTAGAAAATAGTGATTATATGTTTCAGGGTGGGAACACAGCTTCAGAAGAAATTCAATAAAATAAGAACAAAAGTAAAAACAGTCGCACCATAACTTATGGGGGTGTCAAACTTTGACCTGAATTGAAACCTCATCTTAAACCTATCCAAAAAATTTTGGGTTCGGGTCAACCTATTTATCATATGCATGGGTCATGTTTGTATTTTCGACCTGTTTCTAAAATCGGGTCGGATTCGGATTGAGTCGGCAACCCGGGTTGACCTACGAGCCACCGATTAGCCCTCAAGTCCAGCTCCGGTCCAAAGTCCCGCACTCATCGCGAGTCCAAAGTCTGACGTGGCTTCCGGTGTTCCGACTACGTCGGCGCGTACACGACTCCGTGTTTGTCGTGATGCCGATTGTCGTCTGGTGCAGTGGAGCCGCGACTCCACATCAGTCGTGAGTGTCATGAGTGAAGTGTGTTTGTGTCTACCGCCCGCATGTTCATCGGCATCTACCGTAAAGCTCGAAGGCCCTCTGCTCCGCTTGTAGTGCTAGAATGTGTACGCAGAGATAGAGATGAGTATGAGGATTAAACCTTTGCGGGTCAGGTCATGTCAATTTTTTGTAGAAAGCAGTACCGAATATTTGATTTGGGATATCTTTTTTTTTTTCATTGATTTCAATAAATTTTTAAACAAAAAGTTGATTTCTACAATAACTTTTAAAAAAGCTTCTTTCTCCATACAACTTTACAACTACCTTTATAAGAAGTTGTAGCAGTCCTAAACGGGTCATAAAAATCTATTTGAGATAGTTTCAACATTTTATAAAATTGGTTATCAAGTTGTTGTGGAGAAAACAATTTCATTATTATGATTGTAGAAATCAAATTTTTATCATAAAAATTTCTGAAAAACATAGAGAAATCATAAAAAAAAAAAGTAGCCAAATAAAATTATATTTAACTAATCCGCTCAGTCTAAAATTTAAAAGTATACTCAATGAATCATATTTATTTTTACTGAAATTCAAAATCTTGTATGGTGATGATGATTGAAGGCGTGTATCCAGGCAACAACAGTTGGAGGATTGTGCTCTAATAAAAATGATTGGGATATCGTAGTCTAACGACGGCGGTCAAAAAATTATAGTTGGACAATGGTCATCGTACGAATGTAGTTGAGCGTTGAGCGATAGTGATTGATAGTTCATATGACGGCGATGGCCGAATAATGCTTGTCGACGATATTGAACTAACTATGATGGTTCGACAATAGTTAGGTAGATCTTTAGGGAGCTTCTGAGCTCTCTTCTCTTTTTTCTTCAATCCATCCCCCATGTCAAGCGTAACAGAAAGAAATTCAATAAAATAAGAACAAAAGTAAGAACTGTCGCAGCATAAGCGACCGCTGAGTTTATTTTGTTATTTACTTATTTTTTAACAACTTTTCTCAAAAGAAATGCTACGTGGGGAACAGAATATATATATATATATATATATATGGAAAATTTGGGCACTGCCCATATATTAATGAAATGGGAATTACATGTAAACTAGAACAAAAGACTCAATAAACAAAAAGAGGCTTGCTCAAGGGAGCCCAGAAAATAAAGACTACACCTGAAAAAAGAAAACATACATAGTCAACAAAAAAACTAAAAAAAGGAGAAAAGAGACCACCCAAAAAAGAACACCGAGAAAAATTCAGCCGATAATGCCTGGACTCAGATAAGATCATTCCAAATCAGAAAGAAATATGGAGAATCCCTAGTTGCCCAAGGGCTGTCCTAGGGGTGTTTGCATAAGGGCATATCATTGTCAAAGCCAAAATAAGCCCACATGTAATTCACCAAACCAAACCATCATGAGAGCGAAAAAATCAGCACAGAATCTCCCGCTATAACAAATCTATAAGTTTAGAAGCATCCTTTCACTTGATTACTTTCTCAAACATCGCTCTTTTAATATTGATAGAAATAGTAGTGTGACTATTAGAGGAAGTCTCAAATCTCCTTTCATTTCATTCTTTCCAGATAAAGTAAATGGAGCAGCTTGCAATTAACAGATAAAAATTTTTCACTCCCTACTAAGTATAGAAACAATCATCAATCCACTCAAAAAGGTGTAGCACAGTTGGCACAGTTGGCCTAAGCAATAACCCAGTGGTTGTCAGAATAATATAAGAGATAATAGAGAATGAGATAGAGCACTCAAAGAACAAATGAGGCATAGTTTCAGGGTGTGAGTGACACAGCCCGCAGGTAGAAGGGATGAGGATGTTATGCTTGTTTAGAGCGTTAGCCATTTTTAAGCCGCCCACAATAGACATCCAAGCATATACAGAGAATCTCATAGCAGATTTTGGATGCCATATAAGAAATGCCCAAGAGCAACTGGCCATCTAATTATAATAACCATTAACATAATCCCTAAAGGTGCCAACACCTACATTTTCCCAAAGTAAGTATAAAGCAGACTCATGAATAAGTTTATCACATATAGCCTTTCTGATAGTAAGGGGCATGTAATCTGGAAGGCACCAGTTGTTTTCAAAGATAAAATCTTTCAGAAAAGAACCCGCTTGAGTAGCATTCAGGAAATAAAGCCCGACCATTGTATCAAGAAGTGTAGCATTGTTGCACCAATAATGATAATGATCCCAATGAAGAGAAATGGGAGCAATCTTAGTAATTCTAAAATTGAAGAAGTTTTTTGCTTCTATGTCAGTTTTACAAACAGCTTTCCAAAATTTGGAAGCATAATTAGGAGCAGGGCACCACGGAGAATAATATATATGAATGAACATAGAAGATAAGGGAGATGTACTGTTATACATTCTAGAAATCACAGAGCATCCAACGAGGGAATGCCCAAGCCCCCGCAAGACTTTGGCTTGCAAACCCTATCCCAATAAATCATGTGGATTTTATTTTTTTTGCTAACCGAGTCTCCAAATAGCAAAAATTTAGACGACGCTCTTGAAAATTTTCAAGACCGTTTTGGGTATAATAGATCAACGGATCCAGTAAGCAAAGAAATTCAATATTGTAAATTTTAGAAATTGTAATCATCCAGCAATGAAAGGAGATTGGCATTCCAACCCGACATTTTTAAAGAGATGTTATCCATCAAAGGCATGAAATTAGCAACTTTTAAACTATAAAATGAGAGCGAGATACCCAAGTAAGTGATTTTATGACTGATATTATGAATAGAGAGAGCTTGACAGATAGCTTCTTGGTTTCTCAGGTTCTTGGGGAGCATAATAGAGCTCTTGTCAAAATTAACATGAAGTCTAATGGCATTAACGAAGGTGTTGAGTATTCTAGACAGATTGATGTAGTTATCCATACTAACTTCCCCAAAAACTATGGCATCATCTACATATTGGAGATGAGAAAGATTATAACCATAAAAAGAGATCCCCTTAAAACCTCCATCATCCAAAAGAGTAGAAAAAGCATTCATTATAAGACAGAAGAGGTAAGGGCTAAGAGGACAACCTTGCCTCAAACCCGTAGAAGATGGAAAAAATCCTTCAAGAGCTCCATTGATAATAATTAATAGAGAAATTCACATCAGAGATACAAGCCTTGATCCATTTAACAAAATTTTTGGGAAAATCTTTTTGAGCCGACCTTGCAAGCAAAAAATCTCTGGATACCAAGTCAAAAGCTTTGCGGATGTCTAGTTTGGCACAAAAAAATTTAGTGCCACCCCTTATACGAGAGGAGTTTAAATTTTCCTTTGCAAGCAGGATGCTATCCGTGGACATTCTAGATTTAACAAAACCAGCTTGATTGTTTTTAATAATATAAGGCATGATGGGCATAAGCCTGTTAGCAATAATCTTGACAATGATTTTATATGAGACATTACAAAAAGTAATGGTTCTAAAATCTGAGAGAGAAGTGGCATGTTTATGTTTAGGAATGAGAGCGAGGGCAGCTGTTTTTACCCCATTAGGAATATAGCCTTTAGTAAAAAAGGTGCTAACAACTTTAATAAGAAAAGGCCAATGATATGCCACCCAAATTTATAAAAAGGATAATTGTAACCATCCGGTCCCAGAGCAGAGGAGGAAGAGCCAAAAAAATTGCCTTTTTGATCTCATCAGAAGAAACCTATTGAGTAAGAGAAGAAATAAGGTGAGTAGGAATAGTGAAGCCAATATGAAAAATATTCATACCCACCTGAGAGAGCGGAGCTGGATTATAGAGATCTTGAAAGTGTTGAATGATATTTGAAGTTGAATTAGGTGAAGAATCATTGAGAGAAGAGTGAATCAAGTTCACTGCAGCTTGAGATTTATTCTTTCTGCTCCTAATTTTTGCGTATAGGTATTTTAAGTCTTCCTCCTCATGCTTTAGCCAACTAACTTTGGCTCTTTGAATAATCCAACAAGCCATCATACTTGAAAATTCAGAAATTCTGGAATTAATATCTTTAAGAGATGCATTAAGCAAAGGGTTGAGAGGATTCACATGAACTTTATCTACCCGAGCCATTTGAAGATTATGAAGATCTTCAAGATGAGAGTTAATATTAGAGGAGTTAGCCCAGAGCTCCTTCCTAAGAACACCTTTAAGCTTCTTGAGAGTAATGCAGAAGCTAGCTAAAGGGTTACCATAGAGAGGTTTAGAGAAAGCCTCAATAAGATGAATCCAATATTTATGAAAATTAAACCAGTAATTCTTAAAGAGAAATCTATGATTAGAGTGCAA